CAGGGCACAGGTTCCCCAAAACAATTTCAATAAAGCCGTAAGGCAAGCTCGCATGGGAAAGTTTTCTGCTTTCTCAGAACATAGCGTATATTGTGATAAAATATTGGTTATATACTTGAAATAAAGAAAAGACTATAAAATTAACCCAAGTGAAGTTCCCCATAAATGTCTCTTTTGTATGTAACATGTTAAGTACATGTATATACAATGTAACTCTTTTTAAAAAGCATATAGGCAAGGAATACAACATGAGTAACCTTATGAAATATGAATTTTACTGGCAGGAAAAGTTTGGGAGGTGCAAATTCTCCTAAGACTAACATTAGCTATAAAAAATGTAGTATTTCAGGGCAATTCAATATTTTCTTTCATCAGAGGCTCAGAGCCTCAGCCCACAAGTTAAGAGGAATGTAATAAACTGACTATGTGTGTTACAACTGAAGCTCCTTTTGCAGACAGGATTCTAGGGGACAGAGCAAGACGGTGGCAGCCATGGACTTGAGCTAAAATGGGAACTCCTGCATTTTTGCTCAGAATGCTGGTATCTTGCCTGGGAGCACTGCATTCCTCCTGCAGTGTGCAGCAGCAACCTAACCCTGAGCACCAGCCAACAGCTGCGAAAGACGGCCCAGAGATGAGGGCCTGGGTGAAGGGCCATGCCTCTCTCCAGGGCCACTGCTGCCTGCTGAAAGCAGCCTGCCCACCTCCAAGTCCACCCTGGGAACCACTCCACACCACTCTGCTTTGCTAGAATCTCCAAATTAAAGTCATTAGGTGCTAAGTTTCCATTTGCTAAGAGAAGTGGGAAGATCTGTGCACAGGGTGACCATCTGAGAAAGAGGTACTTTTTTTAACTAAAAAAAAAAAGGCAGAGAAATCATTTATTTAACCCAGAAATGGTTATAATCCGAAAACCTGCAATCGCATTACACAACAACTGTTTTGGCAAATGCCGCTATGTTCCAACAAATATTAAACTGTGCTTGCCATTTGTCTAAGGAATCTTGCATTAATAAACATGAAGAAGAACACTTTTACCTCCCACTCTCAATGACAGGACCAAACAAAGACCAGCTGTATTCATCAATGGGTCCTTGTTCTGCACATAAAGGCTAATTACATTTTGCTTCAAGCCTACACATGGAAAACTTTACTGCTGCCGTCGCCGTCACAGTTAGCCCATGCTGTCCCAGCTGACGCAGGGTGATGCCTGTACACAATAAACAGGGGTCTTGGAACAGCCTTGGTGCCTTCGACCTGCAGGCTTCTTTACAAAATGGGGGTGAGGGATGGTCACCCCAGTGACATCTTCCAGCAAAAGAGGCAACATGTGCTCTTTAAATCTCAAGGGGAAAATGATGCCAGGAAGGCCAATCTTCTCCAAGGCCTGTTAATTTCAGAAAAGCACCCCAAGTCCTACTGTGAGATTGCAAGGAATAGCTTCTGCTGTTGACAGTGCCGTCACTGTGTGCTATGTGCTGCACAAACACTTTCTCATCACTCTTCACATCCACCCCATGCCTTGACTACTAGTTCACCCATTGTACAAGTGAGAAAAGGAAGATGTAGAGGTCAATGAGCTTATCCAAGGTCACACAGGGAGAGTGAGTAGTGGACCTCCAGGAACCACTCCCAGGGCAGTGCTCTCCAAAGCCCATGTTCCCCTAAGCCTCCCCAACCGTCTTCCTACACTTTCCGTCAACAAATATATAAGACTCTCTCCTTTCGAAGAGAGAAAATAAATTGTTTTGAAATGTATTAAGACTATTTGTGAAAAGATTTGCCCCTGGAGGGCTTATATTCATATGTATTAATGAAAAGCTGTCTAATCTAATAAAATATACGTAGGTTGGGGCTGAAACAGATGGTAGTGACAAACCTTTCCCAGAAAAGGGGAGAGGAATGCGGAGGGGGAAGCTTCATGTGGGATCGCCAAGACTGAAGCAATTGCCTCCGAAGTTAAAAGAAAGTAGCAATTATTATCTCAGTCCATTCTCTACATTTTTTGCGGATTACTTACTCTGGGAACCATTTACAGCTAAGTGTTTGGCCCCAGGCTGCCTTTTGTTAGTAGCCATCCATCTCTGATTTGGGAAATGCCCAACGCCTGTCTGAGCCTGAGTCCAGCCCCTCAACATCCACTGTGCCCACCTTGATCCTTCAGAGAAGCCACTGGGGACTTCTGGCTGGTCCTCCAGAAGAACAGCCTTGCCAGCCTGTGTTTCCACAAACTGCCTCCAGGAACCCCTCAACTAGACTCATCTTTCAACCTCAAATCACACATCACTCCCTTCAGGAAGGCTTCCTTGACAGTTCTTTCCTTTCACTCCAGCTGGGTGGGGTCCTGTGTGGGACACCAGCTCTTCCCATTTCCAGCTCCCTTCCCCCATCTTCTAGAGGCTGCCCTCTGGCTTTTAAGTTTGCCGTGAGGAGTCCTGGCAGGGAAAGGGAGGAGTGTAAGGCTAGGGGGTTGCTGGTACTGCCCCAGATGTCTCAATCCTCTCAAAGGCCACCAGCTCCTCCCAAGGTAGTCTCTTCAAACCTGGGCATGGTGAACTCTGGCCAGTGCTCGCTAGGAATGCTGTAATCCCTTTGCAGTCCCCCTCCTCCTGGTCCATGCCACAGCAAGCAGTCCAAATGTTGAACTCTCTGATTACCCTAGTTGGAGTATGCTGTTGGTGTTCTGCAGCGACCCTGAGTGGCACAGGTACCCATCATAACTAATGTCCCCTCTATTACAGAAGTGATTGCACAAGATTGCAATGGTTTTTCTCTCCCATGACCCTTTTATTCCAGGCTTTCCAGAGTCCAGCACAGGTCTAGGCACAAAGAAGGCCTCCAAGAGTGCCTGCTGGATTAATTAGTGGACCTGTTACACCCCCCCTTTTTTTAATCCTCACCTGAGAACATTTTTCCATTTTCTGTTCAGATAGAGTGGGAGAGAGAGAGAGAAACATCGACGTGAAAGGGACACGAGTGGTTGCCACCTGCATGACCCAGCCAGGGCGGGGAACAAACTGCAACTGAGGCACGTGCCCTTAGCGGGAACCGAACCCAGGTTTCTCTGGACAGCGGGCTGACACTCTAACCACTGAGACAAACCGGCCAGGGCTGGACCTGTTATCTTTGAGTCAGGTACATCATGTACCTGTCGGGCTTGTTCTCTCCGCGTGCACACATGCATACCACACCTTGCCTCCCTGGAGAAGACAAGAAAATTTCCTGCTATGATCGCAGGAGGAACACACCCCAGGAGTGTCCATGCCTGTCAGCAGTTTATGACAACAGCCAGTCCCGAAGCAAAACATTTTCATTTTGAGCAAGAGATCTCTACTTTTTGATTCAAGTTTCTGGTTCTGGTTGAGAGAAGTGGATCAATCCCCAGAATTAGCCTGGACGACGGCGAGGCCAGTAGAGGATGGGGACAAGGTCTAAGACATCCCTTGATCTCTAGTTCTGTCTCCCAGTCACTTCCCCAGCCACCATGTTCCCTTACTTAGAGAAGATGAAAATCTGAGAGCAGAGGAAAATTTAAGTTCTTATTGGATGGCTGTTCTCTGTTGCTTCCTCAGTCCCCAAAACAAACCAATCAGATGGACACAAGTTTTCCATGTGGCTTTTTAGAAGCCCAATAAGAAAAAAAAAAAAAAAAAAAAAAGGATGAATCTAAACCAGGGACAGTATTTAGCCACCATGTGACAAATGACATTCTTTGCTGTCAATTCTGAACAGCTTCAGTAGATACTCTGTCATCAAGTAGTTTCTTTTCCCCAAATAGGTGCATGTCCATAGCTGATAGCCATGTGGGGAAAGCACACAGGAGATACGGCCTTTTGGAACTTGATCTTTTCTAACACTCTCAAAGCAGTGTTTTCCAAGATGGTTTATGAGTGAGATCCATAGGAGTGACTGTTTTACATTGTGATCCTGGGAGGAAGGTGGCACTATCTAGTGCCCTCCCATCCCCCACCGAGGCCTGTAAGCAAGCACAGCAGAACTTTCTTCCTTGAATAGGCCACCCAAGACACACAGCCAGGGCACACAGGCTTCTGGGGGAGATGGGAAGAGGCTCCCAGAATAGGACAAGATGGTCAAACTCTAGCCTGGCATCACCTGTCTAGACTTTAGGAGAGGATACCATGGCTAGGAACACTCGTGGTTTCTTCACGTTGCTTGATTTATGTCAAAATTATTTCTTCTTTTCTGGTGTTCTGCATGGAGGGTGGGCTGCCAAGAAGTGATCCTATGGCAGGTCACTGACTTCCTTCTTACAGAGCCTTGTGTGATATACCTGCCCAAATACGCACATTCACTATATGCATGTGTCTGCATAGGGACACTCAGTGTTTTAAGGTATGACTTGAACTAATAAACCTGTGTGGGAATGAAGGACTCTGGCACGAGTAACAGGTGATGTGATTTGTATAGACCAAGCAAGTTCTACAAAACATCCCATGTATCCCATCTTCTATAAGCTGACTCATTTCCAGAATTTTTTAGAAAAAGGCACAGTGTTAATCAGGCTTCACAAAAATTAAGTAAAAAAGTTTCAGCCCGGCTAGCGTGGCTCAGTGGTTGAGTGTTGACCCTTGCACCAAGAGGTCACCGGTTCGATTCCCAGTCAGGGCACATACCCAGGTTGTAGGCCAAATCCCCAGTGGGGGGCATGCAGGAGGTGGCCAGTTGATATTCTCTCTCATCAATGTTTCTATCTCTCTCTTTCCCTCTCCCTTTCTCTCTCTCTAAAATCAATAGAAAAAGTTTCAGGTGGAAGTACTGTTCTGAGAGCACCAGAGCTTGGGTATCAAACTGATACAAGCAATTCATGGAATGGCCGTGTATTCCTTACAGCAGTTCAGAGGCCAAGCACCTTCTACACCTCGTATTACTTTGCAAAACCAACAGACAGAAGGGAGCAGGGAAAATCCTTCATGGATTGGCAAAATCAGTTGAGACCTGACCAAATGCATGCAGATGGAGGAGGCCAGGCAGAGACTTACTTGGCAGTAATTTCTTCATCATATTTGGTTTTCAGGTCAAATAATTCTGTTCGAGTTTTTTCCAGGGCTGAAAGGCAGAGGACATAAAACCATTATATAAGACACTAATTGTTTAAATTAAATTAAAAAAGGAACAGTATACAAGTAATATATTCTCGTTTCAAAAGAATAAAAAATTACAAAAGTATACAGAATGAAATGGAAAATCCTCTTTCACTTCCACCTCATCTCATCTCACTCACCTCCTCAGACATAACCACTGTTTATAGTTTAGTGTTTAGATTTCCCCCTTTAAATATATTTTGTTATTTAAAAATATTTCCATACATAATTGCACGTGTATCTACATATTTTTCATATCCCGTAAATACGATGGTACAAATATTCTCCGCGACTTGCCCTTGCCCTTTCCCTTAGCAGACTGGCATGCCACTCTCAGGACACAGACAACATCAGCAACAATGAGCCCCGGTATGGAGCCTGCCTGCCGTAAGCCAGGCACTTTGGCGCGCCGAGAAGTGGAAAGGCTGGGATAAGGAGCTTCAACATTCCAACAGCAGATCAACACCACCAGCTGGCCTCCCAAGGGGCAAATTACATTCCCATTAATACTAGGAGTGTGACGATTTTCCTATACTCTCACCAACACCGAAGATCATCGATCAAAAATTTGTTTGACAATCTGATAGGCAAAATAATTTTTTACCGATTTAATTAGCATTTCCTAGACTATTAAAAATTGTTAGTATTTTTTCATGTGTGTACCAGTCATGTGCATTTGTTCTGCAAAATGCCTGTTCACATCCTTATCTCACTATTCTACTGGACTGTTTATCTATTTGTATTGATTTTTAGGAAGTCTTTACAGATTTTGAGTATTATTCATTTGTCTAAGTTTGTTGTGATTATTTCCCATATTTAAATGAACTATATAGTGCTATTTGTCTTTCAGAACAAAAAGAAAAAGGAAAAGAGTAATAAAAAATTTAGCATAACCTTTCTTGCTATCTTTTAAATTTTAAAGGTCTGTTATTACTGTTCTTAACTTCACTAAGGGCAGAAATATGTGTTTTTTTTCCTTTTCCTAATATTGTTCCAAATGAAATGTCAGTCCTTGACAGTTTGGTGATTTAGGTGAGTTTATTGGAAAGAGAGCAGAAAGAAAGAATGGCTTGTGGAAGGGATGAAAATGTAATTCAGATCCTCCCACCTCGACATTAACAACTCAGTGTGGGTGACTAATAGAAGTCAAGGTAGAGAAGCTGGGGGCTCTATGAGGCATTCTGGAGCGTGGGCTCCCTTCCCTCCTCCTCCAGGCTCAGCAGGGCAGGGCAACAGATATCAGAGGGGGTCTGGGGGAACTGGAGATTGACCAAACTTCCCCCATTTCAGTCTTCCCTGCATCAACTTGACAAGGATGAAGAATATCACACCTGTTTGCAGAGTCTGAACTTTATGTTCTGCTTCCTCCAGCTTTGAGGTGGTAGACATCTGTGTCTCTTGCAGCTTTCTGAAAAGGAAGAGAAGAAAGCCAGGTCAGTCATCTTGTTTACCAACATAAACATCTTGTGTTCTGAAGCTATGACAATCAGCTATCTTCACCATAACACACACAGCCAGTGACAGGCACATGATCAGGGATCACTTGTCAGGCCAGAAGCACTGTGGAGCCTGCTTCCTGACCTTGTACAGCCCAACTTAGTACCCACGTTACATAAAGTGAAGCATGCATCCTACGGGACTTGATGGGTGGTAACTGATGTAGAAGGCTATCCTAAATGTAATTTGTTTCTGAAAAGCCAGATATTAAAAAAAAAAATCATCATCATCATGCACTCACTGTTTTCTGAAGTCAGCCCAAGAAGAATGATACACTTACATTTTGCTGACACAATGAAGGAATTTGTTGGAATAAAGGATGTACTAAACAGACTTGACAGCTGTTCCATTTCTGTTATAATAGCATGCGAATGCAACTGCAATACCTAATGGGAAATTCTGAATGTTTTAAACTACATTCCACATATTTACATTTCCCATGATCTCCAAATGAATTCCCTGGTCAATAAATAGAATTCCTTCCTCCTAATCTGCAGAAAATTTTCCAGAAATAACTTTATTATTTTTACATCATATGAATATAACACATGCTCTCATAATAATAAACCTTGGAATACAGAAAAGTAGAAATAACAGTTTAAAAAAAATCGCCCAAGTTTTCCATCACCTATGGAAATAGAATGCTCACATTTTCACATACTTCAATTATAACACTAATATATACCCTGAGTTAAAAAAACAGAAACAACACGAATATTATAAAAGCATGGAAGGTAAATGTCCTTTCCCTTCCTTGGTTCTATTTCTTTCTCAGATATGGCTCTTTCATAGCCTTCTAAAATTTTTCTACATGTACAGAAATATAATGTAATATGCACTGCAGTATAGAGTAATATACACTCATATATTACAGTGTAATGTAAACTCACATGTAATATACTATAGTGTAATACACACTCGTGTAATATACTAAGTTGCAATATAAACTCACATGTAATATAAGGTGCAAGAGTTCTTTGTATATAAAGAAAATTAGCCCTTTTTCTTAATATGTTTTTATTGATTTTTTAGAGAGAGAGGAAGGGAGAGAGACATGGAAACATCGATGTGAGAGAGATACAGTGATCGGCTGCCTCTTGCACGTCCCCCACTGGGGATCGAGCTAGCAACTCAGGAATGTGCCCTGATTAGGAATCAAACCAGGACCTCACAGTCCATGGGATGATGCTCAATCCATTGATCCACACCAGCTGGTAAAATTAGTCCTTTTTCTTATGTGGTGCTAATACTTCCCAGTCTCTTGATGCTTTAAAAATGCAGTCTAGCCCTGGCTAGTTTGTCTTTGTGGTTGAGCATTGGCCTGCGGACCAGAGTCCCAGGTTCGGTTACTGCTAGGGGCACGTATCACAAAAAAAAAAAAAAAAAAGAAAGAAAGAAAAAAAATGCTGTATATTGGTATTTGTTTTAAATTTTAGGCAGTTATATTTAGATAATTTTTCTTTAATGCTTATAGAGACTTCTCCACTCCAAAATTATTAAAAACAAAATATTTGCCCAAGTTTTCTTTCACTATGTACATGATTTAAGCATTAATATTTAAATCCTAGTTCTAGTTCAAGTTTTTCATGTAAAGAATTAGGTAAAGATCTAGCTGTGTCCTTCACCCCCAGTGGTTAGTCACTTACTCATAATTTTTTTTTTTTTTTTTTAAATCCTCACCCGAGGACATTTTTCCATTTTTTGTTCAGGTAGAGTGGGAGGGAGAGAGAGGAACAGAGAGAGAGAGAGAAACATCGATGTGAAAGGAACACATCGAGTGGCTGCCACCCGCACAACCGACCAGGGCCAGGGACAAACTGCAACCGAGGTACGCGCCCTTAGCGGGAACCGAACCTGGGTCTCTCAGGACCGCAGGCCGACGCTCTAACTGCTGAAACAAACCGGCCAGGGCCACTTACTCATAATTTTAACAGAATAAATCCTTTTTTCTAATTTGAAAAGTCAACTTAAAAATATTAAGCCCTGGTCGGTTTGGCTCAGCGGTTGGAGCATCCGCCTGCAGTCCGGAGAGACCTGGGTTCGTTTCTCGCTAAGGGCATGTACCTCGGTTGCAGTTTGTCCCCGACCCTGGTTGGTCGTGCGGGTGGGAGCCACTCGATGTGTCCCTTTCACATCGATGTTTCCCTCTCTCTCTTTTCCTCTCTCTCCCTCCCACTCTATCTGTACAAAAAATGGAAAAATGTCCTCGGGTGAGGATAAAAAAGAAAATCAACCTCTCTCTCTCTCTCTCTCTCTCTCTCACACACACACACACGAATAAAAAAAAATTAAATTGCCACATACACTTTTGTAATGTATGAGTTTGCTCTATGCAGATGGAATCACACTGTACATATAATATTTTAATGGCTACATAATGTTCCAGTTAGGGATGGCCCATCTTTTACTAACCCATTTCTCATTGGCAAGCATTTCAATTGCTTACATTCCTACTCTACCCATTATCTATAACACGGTGAGCGATCTCTTTGGGTATAAAGTGCTTTCCCATTAAGAGTCCACTCATCTTTGAGAGCCCTGACTTCTTTTCTGCGGGCTGCGCCCAGCCCCGCTATCCCAGGAGTGTGGGTGCTGTGTCCCTGTGCAGAGTTGGGTTTGGCCCTGGTCCTGAAGAGAGGACTTCAGTGAAGCCTCTGGGAGGCCAGGGCTGCCATGGTGGATCAGGCCCTGGTCCCATCTCAGGCCGACTAGGTGGGAGAGCAGCTAATCTGAGGCCCAGTTTCTCTATCTGTAAAATGACAGGTCCATTCTGCAGGTCTGTTCTGGACTTGGAAATATGTTCCAAGAGGGCCTGGCAGGTGCAGAGTAGGCACTAGGTGAGTGGAGTGGGCCTTCTTCTTCTTTCCTAAATGAAGCCAGCTTAACAGTACTCCAGAGAGGCCTCAGTGATACCCGGGATCTTTACGGAGCCCGCCTTATGGAAGTGCAAGCAGCTGCACGCAAAGTTCCCGGGACACACAGCAGGCCCGGCCTCCTACTTAAGGGCACACCTTTAGTGTTTCTTGTTAATTGATACACATACTTCTTCATAATAGGTTTAAAATATAAAATCTGTATTTCACCAGAGTTCTAAAAACCCAACTTATATCATATTACAGTTTTTACAAGAAATCTAACTTTCATTACATCATCACCATAGTGAAAAACCAGCTCCCTATGTGTGGAAAAGTTTTGGGTGAAGCAGGCCATCCGAGATCTAAAACTCACAGCAGTTAGAGGGCTCATTCACATACTTTACTGACATCAGCTCCTTGATATACGAAGCACTGTGAGGCAATGAAAAGATGTACAATTGCCATGTGCCAACCACACACACTTCATGCTCAACCTCTGGACCTGCATGGCCCGGACAGACACACGCTGGTCTGCTGACTGACACGGTCCCCTGGCAGAGAAAGACCAGTGCACTTCATTTAAGGTTGTCTCACCCATTACAGAACAAGAAACACCTTTACTTTTCAAATAAAATTTTGTCTACAGCCCCTAGGATTTTGGTTTACAACCTGGGCATATTTCACAAGTACATTTTAAAAACTGCTTTGTCAGGTGAAGTTTAGAAGTAATACATATGTCAGTACATGTAAATCCCAACACGCGCTCACCTCTCTTTTTCCGCAAAATCATTTTGTAACTTTTGTTCCTTTTCGAGAGCTATAGTCTCGGCTTGGTTCTTCAGAGTCTGTTCATATTCTCGGATTTTCTCTTTAAGTGCTTTTATCGTAACCTCTGCAGAAAGAAAAAAAAAACTACACTCAGAGAAGCATAGTTCCGTGTGGCTATATATACAGGCCTTCGTAACCGAGTAGGATCGGTGTGTTTTAAACTTTAGCTCTTCAACTCTGACACAAAATCAATGGTTACGAGTCCCTTCAGAGACCTTTTACTCCCTAAATGTTAAATTGAACTTTAAACGTTTAGGTTGAGGAGGATCAATGGATTTTGCTGGGAAGAAGAGCTATGGTTTCTCTAATACAACTTAAAAAAAGGAGGGGGAATCAATGGTAAAATATAACATCTTATTGATGAGTCTTAAATTAGTCCTCTACTGAGGGAAATTAATAAAGTTTTAGTGTGGGTTTAAGTACTTTCTTACAAAGAAAACAGTTCATAATTGTGTGCACATCTTGGAAGACGACGTCTTAGTCAAAGTCACATACCTCTACAGGCCTCCCTAGTGTGGGCACTCTTTTGCTGTCACAGTGATGAAACATGGAGTGTGCTAAGTGGACAGAGCGTGCATTTCTTTGGCTGGAAGGAACCCACCCTGCAGCTTGGGTACAGAAAGTACCCTCTGCCCAGGCCAGAGTCTGGCAGACTATGGCTGCTGTGTGCAGAGCAGACAAACAGGGCCTGGGTGAGCTGCACCTGAGGGAGGGTGAGGGTCAAGGGGGTGGGGAGTGGTGCTGTGCAAAGAAGGAGCTCTGCAGTGCCAGGTTCAGGACACAGGGCCCCTTGGGAGGGCAGGATGTCCCTGGTAAACTCAGGCCACACCACAAGGGATGGCATGTTTACAGCTATCATTTCAGTTACCTGAAATGGGAACGCCAAAGTAGATGAGACATAATGAATGGGGCAGCGTCCTATCTCAGACCCATGGCATCTCTAGGGCAGGACCACTACACATGCTGCCCCCCACAGATACCCCCACGCCATCCGGCATGCTGGACAGTCCCTGGCAGAGCACTGTGGTCCCAACACTAAGGAGAGTAGAGCTCTTGGGGAGCTACACCTGCTGTACATGAATCCATCTCTTAGAAGGCACAGCTGGTACTCTTTGTGGCTCCAGCACCTGGACACAGGTGGGTGCTCTGAAAATGACTGAGGCACAAATGAATGAAGGAGCAGAGGCTGGGCTGATAGGGGGAGGCCCTGACAGGGCTTGTAGCAATGGGGCTCAAGGCTCATGGGACAATGCCACCTGCTAGATCTTTGCCCAAGATACAGCTTGGATTGGTGGCCCTTGTTCCTTCAGGTTGTAACTCATGACCACCTTTACTGCCTGAATGGCACAAACATGCTGGGCAAGGTAGGAGCACATCAACTGGAAATTTAGTATTTATGTGGCTTAGTGGATAAAAGCTAAAGGATCTTCTGTTAAAAGAAGAAATTGGCCCTTTTTATTAAGTGGAACCCAGAATGTTCTCCTTAAAGAAGACATAGGGAATTAAAACGCATGACCCTGTCAGGGCATTTGAAAGAAGAATGGGGGCTTTCTGCCTTTTGGATTGGTTATTTTGGGCCTGAACAAAATGCTCTGTGACCATAATGGTTAGTGGTACACATTACTGTCAAGCCACACCGACAGGGTCAAACAAAGTTGGGCATAAGTGGAACACTTCCAAATGAACATCAAGACAAGTCACCTCTGAAAACGCCTGCACATTCTGCAAGTCAATGGTCTATGCAACGATGCAAATATATAGCATTTCTGCCTCTAACAATTGGTTAGAAATATCTGTTCAGCCCCTGGACCCACAGTGCTCATTCCAGTGAGATTTCTCAACATCTATGCTCCTTCCAGGGACACTAGCTGGGGGCTCCCACTCTGTCTTATGAGGTCTCTTTGCTACCCCCCCAACCCCAGGTGGGCTGCTCACTGATCAGCTGAGTCTAAGCTAGGGGATGACTTGTCCTGGAGCCTCTGACTCTGGTTCTCCTCCTGTACCCAGGCCTAGGTCCAGGACATTCTCCTGGGTGTGTCCCAGCAGGATCCCCTCCATATGAGCAGGTGAAAAGAAAGAACAGGGTGCCAGAAAGGGCACTGACGTGTTCTGTTCTAACTGGCTGTACCCGGGGCCCCAACTTACTCCTCTTTAAATGCGAGGAAGAATTATAGCACATGATAAATTCCTTTCCTGCTCTAACTTTTTATTAACATACAATATGGCTGTGATGATTAAAACAAGTGACATGCACCCCAATCCTTCCAAATTAAAATCATTTTTATATTGGGAAGAAAAGGAGGGACTTGACATTTTTCTGGAGGTTAGGGAAATCTGTTAAGATATCAATGAAGAAAGAAAAGTGGAGTAATTTCTAGAAAAAAAACAACAGTACTCAAGAAGAGCAGCTGATTTTATGGAGTGTCAGGAACAGTGCTAAATGTCTCACCAGCATCTCATTTACCTACAAGAGTCCTATGTGGTTAGTATGAGAATTCCCCCACCCAAGAAAATGAAGCTTATAACAAAGTGAGATCCCTTGTTCAAGGTCACACAGCTAAGTAGTGGCAATGAAGGGACTCAAACCAGGCCTGTATACCCCCAGTGCCTTTGTTCTCAAGTCTCTGATTATATAATATACTATTTCATTTATAAACACCCATACAATGGGGCCTTTGGGCAGCAGAGCATCTCACACTCAGCTATGGTCCTCGCTGGGCAACTAACTGGCCATGGAGGCACTGACGAAGCAAGATGGGGGGAAAGACACCTGCACCACCCTCCAACAAAACAAAGTGAAAATAAAGACAACAAAAAGAGTGGATCCATCAGAGTAAGATGTTAGAGGTTGCTGGGTGGAAGGAAAAATAGCTCACTCCTTTTGCGTAGGGCTGCAGAGAAACCCAGGCGTGGGTATTTCCAGGTTATCTTTCATCTGAGCATTTGGGTGGTTCTGAAAAGAAACAACTCCTGCTGGGAGCAAAGGCAGCACCTTCTTCTACCCAGATCCCAGCCCAGTAAGTCTAACACCTAACTTTCCAGCACGATAAAGCTGTCTCTAAGTCCCAATGACTCACAGTTCCCTGCGGCACCACACGGAGGGGTGTGTGTGTGTGTGTGTGGGGGGGGGGGATGTCTCAGCTATCCCCCACCTCTAGTCTCCCGAGAAAGAAAACCCACAGGACTGCTGCCTGCACCGCCCGGGCCTGTACCTGCCAGCTGTTCATCATAGTCTTTTTCTGGATCCTTTCCGTGGACACTCCCTCCTTGCAAGCCTGTCTTCAAAGGGCTCAAAGCCGACCCCCCCCCCCCTTTTTTTTATCCTCACCCGAGGACACCTTTTTTTCAATATTTTGTTCAGATAGAGTGGAAGGGAGTGAGTGAGAGAAAAACATCGACGTGAAAGGGACACATCGAGTGGTTGCCACCCGCACGACCCATCCAGGGCCGGGGACAAACAGCAACCAAGGCACATGCCCTTGCGGGAACCAAACCCAGGTGTCTCTGGACCGCAGGCCGACGCTCTTAACCGCTGAGCCAAACTGGCCAGGGCCAAAAAACACTTTTAAAAATCTTCATCAGTTAATTCTTTACCCAACTCTTGGAGAATATCAAACAGAAGGCCACTCAGAGGAGGTAGGTCACTGAAGTGGTTTGCCTTTCCTTTCTAGCTCCTTCCTCACCCAAACCCCAAACAAAAACCAATAGGCTGCATTTCTCCTCGCAGCTTCCTGAAAAACCTGCAGCTGCTGTCAGATAGGGCTGCGATTTTTCTTCAGGACAAAAAAGCCATAGGCTCCCGGAATCTGAACACATCTGGATTTTAGGTGCAGGAGCAATTTCTTTGTTCTTCCCTGACAGGAAAAACCTGGCCACCTTTGCCCTCTCTGTCTTGTTGTCGGCTGGGCAACCACACCAAGAGGTCATTTTCTTTCATTAAATTCGTAATGAATAGGTGACACTGACAAAGAAACAGTAGTGCTTAAGCATGCAGACCTGTAGGATGCGGCTAAAGCCTTAATGTATCGGCAGCAATTATTAAATGACTTACTGCATGTGACCCTTTGATCATAAGCTGGCTCTCTGACAGGTGTCGCCCACAGGCAACACATTATTCTTTTAAAAGGCAGATCCTATCACATGATCAGAAAGAATTTTGGAAGAATCCCGATCAGTCTCGTCACAGGGCAATAACTTCATATGTAGTTACTGTGCAGAGGAAAACTTTTACTCCTAAATAGCTAAGCATTATTATTATCTCTCTTTAACGATTCTGGTCCGTACCCCACCCTGACTTTATGACGTATATTACAATTACAGCTAGTCCCAACAGTATGGGGAAGGTAATTAAAAAAAAACAAAAGCCAAGCAAAGAATACATCTTCTACCAACCTTGGTTTTTCACTTCAGCAAATTCCTTGTTGTATTCTTCGAGTGTTTCCCTAAGTTTCTGGTTCTCTGCTTCAATGTCGTGCAGGCGCTGCACTTTGAGCTGGAGCTGCTGCCCGAGATCCAGGGCTGGTGCGGGATCTGCACGAGAGGAAAGCACACATCAGCCCACTCTGGATGCAGACAAGCCACCTTCATGGTCACACGGAGGCTCAGGCAGGTCTCCAGCCCTGTGGCTGCCACCACCTGCCTGGAGTTGGGGTATCTGTGTCCTTGCCACCTCCTTCAGAGTCCCTGGGAGTCCCATGGCTGGAATGGGGGTACTTCTCTGTTGGCTACAAAGGATATGTACACAAACCCACCCCAGGGCACCCAAAGCATAAAAATGGGGTGAAATGGTCATGGACTCACTAGGATATGCCCACTGCTCTGGCACAGTGCGACCCTGAGTCTCTGAGCACCAGTGAGGGGAGGCGTGCTGGAAAACCGTCCACGCCCCTGGAGCTGCACGGGAGCGTCGATAGTGTGGGGGAGGTGTCATAAGCCACAAGTTTACAATAAATCTTATGAAGCTGAAATAACACCTGATACTCTGATGAAGTCACTGTTACAAAACAATTTTACAGACATTTTCTCATTTCAGCCTCACAATAATGCTAGGAAAGCTGTAAGATGTGTATTAGTTCCTTTCACAGAAGTAGAAACTAAAGCTCAGGGAAGCCCAGCTAGTTAGTGGGCAGAGAGAACTCGAATCCAACTCTGCTAACCCCAAGCGACTGATGTTCCAACAAGGAAGATCCCCTGATGGAGTGGAGGAAATAAATACAGCCTTGATAAGGGCATACCCTACTTTGGACATGCTCACTTTCCATCACAATCCTTCTTTACTAACCAAGGACACTAACAAGAGAGTCAGGTGAGCTGGTGAGCCAACACTCTGTGACCCATCCTAGACTACTGGGCCAGGTAGTCAGGGGGCTACCACACTCTAATTATTGTATAAACAGCAGAAAATGGCATCTGGGCCAGTTACATGAAGTCTTATGGCCAATTCAATGTACTATCTGCCAACAGATTTACTTACAAAAAACTAGATCTTAATCTAAAATTAGCGACTGCAGACACAGAATTTATGGTACTGGCTACTGGCCTTTAGCACAAAATGGAAAGACATTAAACATTCTTCTGGTGTCCATTCGATCTTTTATTTTTTCTTCTGCTGCCTAAAAGGCACTCATGATCCACCTGCTGGGCACCAGGGGAGCACTTCCTCCAGAACTCTTGGGCTCCATCAGAATAGAATATTCAAGTCTGCTGGGCTTAGAAAAGATTACTGAAGATATTTCTGGTATGGACGCCAGCATCACTTGTGAAATGGCTGCAAGGATTTAGTCTCCAGTTGAGGAATGCTAAACACCAAGCACAGTGGATCAACATGGGTGTATATTCAAGAGCTCACTTAATTTTCAAATACCAGAGTCATTAATTTTTCGGACCACCCCTGGTTCCTGGAAATGAGGGCTAGATCCACATGTTTCAGTCGACGCGTCTACTAGGAGCCAGGAACTCTGAGATGCCAACGTCTTTACAGAGTTTACAAAAGGCAGGCACTGGGATGTGTCCAGCACAACGGCAGACTGGCGCGTGGGGTTTAACACCAACGCTGTCCATCCCGTGAAACCCCTGGCTGCCGGGCATGTATTCTGAGAGTATATACAGTTTATGACTATGTCACTTTCTCATTTGTGGCTTTTCATTATTATTTTAATCAGCATTAAAATATTCATACTAAATTCGATTTCAAAAGCTATTTAGGAGAGAAAGTTCTTTGTAAGTAGGACTAGCAACAACAATAAAGACTGAATTACTCAGAACATTTCAGGTACAGTTTTTTGTTTTTTTAATTTCAGTATTTTCCAATGCACATTCCCACCCCCCACCCCCATTCCCCCCTTCATCTCCTTGTGCTGGGCAAATGGCCTGAAGGAAATAAACAGTATGCCCACACGGCTCCCTTCATATAGAACTACAATTTAAACTTGACACAGAGGTCAGGGAAGGACTGAGGAGAAGGAGAGCCGCTGTACCTGTATAAAATTCTATTAGTGTTCATTCATGTAGGCTTTCTGGCACAATTGTCAGTACACATATATCTTTAAAGAACTAAGCTAGTATACTTTGCTCCATCCCTAAAATTACTGTTGACAACTTTTTCAGTCCATTCCTTTAAAAAAAAGTCCAGGACCCACTGTGTCTGCTTCAAATAAAAAATTGATTCCCTTGTTTGATTCAGCAAGAAATACAGTGACATATAAAAACAACATGCACATTATCAAGTGAATGGTAACTAGACCTTTAGACAAATTTTCAAAGCATTATATTGTAAATGAAAATCCTGGCAATCTCATAATTATTCATTATGGCATGTACATTTAATTTAATACTATTAAAGGTTAATGCCTAAGTAGCAAAACTGGTCACAGAATAAAGAATGAACTGAATGTTCAAACATCTCTATGCATTAAACTTCAAACTTTACTACAGTACAGTTGAATGACTAAACGCCTACAGCATTTGAATATTGTTTTGGATTATGTAAAAGGCATTGCTAAAGTACCTCTTAGGCTTAATTTTTATTACTTGCATTAAAGGAACAGCTAATTACCACATGACAATATAATGACTCTAGCGTGTTTGGGCTAGAGACCAAAACAACGACTTTTGGCATGCCAAACCCCAACCTGCATGTTAATCTAGGGGAAATCATAGCTTTTTTGTCTCGTTAATGATTTCCAATGCCATTTAAACCCCACACAAGTATTGTTAGGCCTTATTCTGAATGTCACAAGCCTCTAGTCTCAGCAGCTCAATTAGAGAATTGTCTGGGGGAGGCAAGAGAACACACCCATACGTGGATCAGGAACACACCAAATCCTCAACCTGTCTTCCCTGCCTCCTCCAATTCAACATGCTTTATTGCCAGTTCCATCCACCCATTGTGACAAACTTACAATGTGTTTTATAATCATCTAATAGTTAATTCCTAAAACACTCTTTGAGGCACTATAGAGCTCGTTATGCAACACAGGACCCAAAGAACATAATTACAACAAACAGCAAAACAGTCACCTGTATTCATTCAGCACCTTCTCCTAAGTACATGTAACATTATCTCATTAATTCCAGCCAGCCAACACAGTCAGGGTGGGGGGAAGGGGACTTGTAATATATCTGGCTCCTCACTCAAGGGAAAGGAGGAGGAGAAAAGTCAGCCAGGCAAACAGGTATGCAAAATTCTAAGGAAGATTTCTGCTTCCTGAACTAGCAGCCAACTAAATTATCCTGTTTCTTCAAGTTCTAATTTAACAAGTATTTCCTAAGCATCTCTCTGCTCTGGGTAAGGCCCAAGTGAGACACTGGGATGGACATTTAGTCGTGTCAGCTGGGCCCAGTTTCACAGGAGAGATAAACCATGCTCACAAATAACAAAGGTAAAACAAAATGGGGCACACAGAACAGATGAGTAGGGGCCCACTCCCACACAGAGAAACTGGGAAAAGCAGATTTTTTTTAAAAAGAGGAGACAATTGTTTAGACCCATGGAGACTGTGGGGCAGTCAGTCCATGTAGAAGACGCAGCATCCAGGGGGAAACAGTTCAGTCTCCTGCTGGCGCCGAAGTACACATTCTATGATATCGGGACTGTTCTAGGTGCTGGGGGGACACAATGGTGAACAAGACAAAACCTTGTTCTCAAAGACGTGACATTCTGAAGTGAGGGAGATAGACAAAAAACAGAACCAAATAAAACAGAATATGTTTAAGTACTGCCAAGCATGAAGAGAGAAATGAAGAGAGAATGGGGACTGGGGACTGGAGACAGAATGACAGGGAGGGTCTCTTGGAGGAGGTGACACTGTGATGGGTATCTGGATGGTGAAAAGGGGAGACTGAGAAGACCCTTGGCAGAAGAAACAGCATTGCAAAGGTCCAGAGGTAGGTGTGAATGTGGCATGTTCAAGGCAGAGAGAAAAGCCAGTAAGGCTACAACAAAGGGAAGGGAGAGAGGCAAAGCACAGTGGTCAGGGAGGGAGACCTGTGCTTAAGGATTTAAACAAAATTATGTGCACAATTAAGGAGAGAAATAGAACATATAAAGAAGAATAAAACAGAATTCTAGAGCTGAAAATAACACATCAGTCTCACAGAAATACAGTGCCGAAGAAAGCCTGAGGACTGAGTTTGAATTCATGCTCCTCTTGATGAGAAAAACCATCAGAGAATAGGACTCTTGCAAAGATGAACATCTGGCGTATGAGAAAAAAAACTGCAGTTCCTTGAACGACTGAAAGGTTTATTTGTTTTCTAGTAGCAAAGTATTTAAGAGTTTTAAGCTTAAAGATGAGTTACACAATTTTCTTTTAAAAAGTTAAGTATTCGAAATTAGCTGCCCTGTTCTGTGGCAGCAGATGGCTATCAGTCATATGTTGTCTGGCAAATATTAAAAAACAAACAAACAAACATAATCTATGTCTTTGAAGTCAATGTAATGTTTTAATATTTAGTGGGAAAAAATATTACTTCTTCAAAGAAACTCATCTATAGTGACAGCATTCTAAAAGGGGGGACTTGGAAATGTTCCTATCATTATATAAACTTATGGGCAAAGACAACATCCTCTACAAAAATGTCTCAATGACTCTTATCATATGAAAGAGAGTACAGCATAATGGTTTAGAGCGTGGGACAGACTGCACGTGTTCAAATCCCAGCTGTGCCATTTAACTTGCTGTGCAACCTTAGACAAGTTACTTAATCACTAAGATAATACGTGCATACCCTTAGAAAACTTCCAGGCATGATTAACACTCAATAAATGGTACCTATTACCAACCAACTCAAACCTGATGAAATATTTGCCCAAAGAAGTTTCAAATCATGTTACTAACATAAAAAATACAGTATCTTCGCTCTGGCCGGTTTGGCTCAGCAGTTAGAACGTCAGCCTGCGGACCAGAGAGTCCAGGGTTCGGTTCCCACTAAGGGCACGTACCTCGGTTGGAGTTTGTCCCCAGCCCCGTTTGGGGTCGTGTGGGTGGCAACCAGTCGATGTGTCTCTCTCACATCGATGTTTCTCTCTC